TGATCAATTTTTACTTTATTTTAAAACATTACCAACATTTATAAAGTAAAGAAAACACCTTCTGCATGCCAAGCTCGCTGTTATCATATTAGTTTCATATATATTTTATATTCCCTCTTTCAATATTTCTCTGTGCTTATTTTCCTGTGCCATTTTATTACCTGATTGAAGCATAGCAAACATATTGTAAAATATCATTTGAATAGTTTCCAGTTTCTGTTTGCTCTGCTGCATGGCCATGTGGCATGTTCGCCTTACGCGCTCTCTTTTATTCCTAGTCAAGGCGATTCTGTTTCACTGCAAAAGTTCTCAAAAGTTTACACAATATATATATGGAGACTATTCGTGGACTAATTTAAGTATCACTTTCCAGCTGGTTACACACGCTCTTACAATGTGTATGTGAATGCCTCCACACACACACACACACACACACAAGCACACGACATAGTGGAAAAATGTTTGTTTGGCAGCAGTGAAAAAGTTTTCTCATTTGAGATATTTGCAGCTGCTGGCACTGGACGGACGCACTTTGCTCTGCTGGGATCTGCCCTGCTCGGCCATTAATGCAATCGAAGGGCATTTTGGCTGGGGTCCTTAGCTCTCAGTCGGTATGGTTATGGCCGCACAGACGCTTATGGTAAATGCCACAAAATGGCAAGCAAATCAGCGCCAAACTAAGAATTGCAATTGTGACAATGCTGACAATCTGCAGGCGACAGGCGAACACTGCGAAAACAGGAGGCAGCTAGACAAACAGACGGCAACTGTGAAGACTCCTCCACTCTCTCTGTCCTCCTCGCGCCCCGCCTAAAGGACGTCTTCATCTGCTGCCTGAGCTGCGACAACGTCAACCAAAACGGCGACACTTACAATCAGTATGAAATTTACGCGATTTTCATTGCGGCAAATGGTTCGTTTTTGGTATTAACATTTCTTGCCAGTCAACGGGGGGTGGATGAATGGCAGAGAATGAGCGGTGGGTGCTGAGGGCTTGGCTGGATGCAGGAAATGTTGATGGGTTAGTTAGGGGATGCGTAACAGAAGCTGTGCCAATTCTTATATTTATAAGAGCATTCCCAAGTGGAGCTTGGCACATTTTGGCATACGATTGGAGATGAGATGAAAATATTGAAA